GGGGGAAATCAGTATGGAAATACTGGACATCTTGCAAAACAAGCCAAGAAAAGATGATCAAATGCTAGTGAGCAAGGGTGGTGAGTGAAAACTGGCGATTAAAACCCACTAGTTTCAAAAGCATATAGCAGAATGAGAGTCCTGGACAGTATTCAGGCTGTACTGCTCTGCTCCCCTTCCAGTCACTATGACAGACCACACTGAGCTGATGGACAGGACTTGTGTTGCTGCGATGGAGGGTGGAAACCAGTATTATCTGAACACAGGCAGGAGTAAACCCCACCCAGGACACCTATACTGAGTAAACCACTGGAGACTGCTCATGTGTGAATACACACTGTGACCATTTAATTATCTCAATTCCTGATGATCCTAGATTTGTTTACAGAAAATGATGGACCATTTTCCTTAGTGACATATTACAGTAGATATATTAAAAAAGCAAATTGCATTTGGGAGTTAAAGATAAATTGACAGACTCCTAAATACATACATTTCTTTTTCTTTCCTGTTCTCTAATGAGTTCATATTTTAATCAGAGAAACTGCTAGATTCCCTCCAAAAACTAGTAGAAATCTCAAAGGAGAACAAGCCGCTTATGCAAGTGTTCCTGTAAAACAAAGACTATTCAAGTACAGTAAATAAATATTAGAAGCAAGAATGGTATTCAGTTGTCTCCTTAAAAGCTAGGAGACTGTGTATCTTAATATTGATGGTCTGGTTCTGAGCTAAACACCAATGAAAACATTTTCTATTATAAATAAAACGACAGCATTTCTATCTATTATCACTTCCCTAGGGAAAAGTTCTGGTTTTGGGTAAATTACAGAGGGATATTATGCCAAGTGTATGACAGAGTAACATGCAGTTTTAATCCAAGTAATCCATCCATAGACTGGATTGGCAGAACAAGCAAGAGGATGAAACCCAGCAGAGCCCAGCCTCCCCACTGGGACTGCTGAAGGAGGCAGGGAGAGCTCCCCACTCAGGGGAAGGGCACTCACCCACCCCAAACCCACCACAGCCTCACTGAGCGGTTCAGGGTCACAACTGGCAGGACGGGTAGGCAGACTAAGAAGACAGAAAAGCCTCAAGCCCCTAAGTAGAAAGTATACTTTCCTTTGGAGTAATTTATTCAGATACTGAGATGGATTTAAATTTAGAAGAGATAAGGTGAGAGCAAGAAAGTGTTAAAACTGAGGTTACTTTTCATTTGTGTACTGTGAGTTAGAGGTTTCTTTTGCTGCTGGAACAGGAATTGTAGCTGAGATGGGGTCAGAAAACCCTGGGGCTTAAATACAGAAGCTTCAAGGCGAGAAGAGTATAAAAATAAATTCCAAAGGGCTTAATAACATTGTACAGAGGCTGGATATTCTGGTGTCAGAAAGAAACTGGTGGCTCTTAGATCAAAACATAATCATTCAAAAGCAATAAGAGCCTTTGTTTTAGCCAGCTAGTCATTCTGTTACCCACTGGGACAATGTTTTTTTTACTAGCATCCCAAATTACAGTTAATTTACAGTGTATAAATGTACATGCCACTAAAAATATAACAGTTAGAGCAAAAATACTTTAAAATGAACATTGTTAAACCTTTAGCAGTCTGATCCAAAATCTGGTAGGAACCTTTTGCTTGACTTCAAAGGAATTATTATCAGCATTTTAGTGAACTTCTTCTTCTAAAAAAAAATGTTTAAAAATCGGAGCTGTACCTCATGGCTTACTGCCAGGACTGTTCTTCACAAGGAGTCAGAGACAGGCAGAGCCTGCAGACAGCTCAGGCCACCTCTGCAGGCAGAAAAGTGAGAGAAACCTTCCTGAGGTTACTGCACAGGACACCCTCTGATCCTCTGCAGCAAGGCTAGACCAGGGGAAAAATGTCTGCTCTTTCTTAGCTTCCCATCCCAGAAGACTTTCTTTATGCATTAGTTGACCTTTCTAGTCGTTGTACCATCTTGCTTCAGCAGTTAATTAACACAAGTGCCATAATTTAATACAGTTAATGCTACTTTATGCCCTTTAATGTACCTTCCATTAGTGATATTATTGTAGTATTACCCTGTAAATTAAAATAAGATCAAGACTAAGAGAGGGTCTCTTTAATTAAGGTACTGGCATACTACAACGTCCATTATTCACTAGAAAAAATCACCCTGATTTAGTGAAGCAGACCATCAGTAAGTCAGAATTAGTTCATGTGGATTATTAGCTTTCTTGAATAATGTGAGCACAATGGGGTTGCTGAAATTGCTAACAGCCATGTTTCCCTTTTTCATCACCTTAATAAATACACAATGGAAGTGGTAAATTGAAGATGGATAAACAGGTGGTAATAGAGGAGGGAAGGTGTTCATTGAGAGGACGCAAGTTTTCATCTCTAATGCAACATACATCAGCCTTATTTCACACCAAAATGCAAACCAATAACAAAACAAACCCTATATTAAGTGGGCAAATCAATAATTCATTGTGAAGTATTAACCACTTCAGTATCCTGTATATTTAACATAGTGGCTTTAAGATAGATGCTTTTCACTGTCACTGTCCCTTAAAACACATTATGAAACAAATTGCATTTTATGCTGCCTTTAGAAATATGCTATTATGAACTTTGGTGATTTTAACCATACTTAACCTACAGGTTATGTTCTTCAGAAAAAGGACTAGCTTTAAAGAGTGTCTGCTAGCATCACTCACCCACTACATGTCAAGTTCCTTGGTAATGTCCCTTTGTATCCTATCTCCATGGAATAGTTTGAGCTATCTTTACCAAATGTATACAAATATCCGGGTCTCACAGCCCATAATATGAAACATTGTAGCAAAATAAAATACATTTGTAATTTAATTTCCAGTTAACATTCTAAATGAAGCTGTAACAGCTGGAAAGCTCAGCTGAATCAGAAAGAGTGGCACAGCCACCCTGGTAACCCTTGCTTCCCTCCACTAGTTGCCATGCTTAGGGCATGCCAGGGCACATGCCTGGAATGCTGATTGGGAGACTGTGGAGGGGGCTATAAGGTTTCTGGTAGGGACAAAAAAAATACCTAAAACCAGGTGACAGTGGGCTTACTGCAAGTTACATTTGGTGCACCTTAACAACCAGGAGCTGTGTATTGCAGCCCCACAGCTACTTAGTAGTAAGCAAGCCCTGAAGTCTTTAACAAGGAGGGTTCACAAGATACTGAAGGAAACGGCACCAAATCCCTAAAGAGCTGTTCTTCTCATTAGCAGAACAGTGATAAGAATTCACATGAATCTAATCTAGTGAGGTACTATTACCTATCAGACATTTCTTTTAAAGCATGTGTCCAATTACTGCAGCATTTAGACAACAAGCATCAGCACTAGATAAGTTCTCTGTACAGTCACGCTTCATTTCTATAGATAATTTTTCACAAGATTGCTGAGCCCCAGATGTTCTCAGAAGGTTCCTGTTTCTAATTTGCATGCAGTGCACTCTTTTTTAATCCTTCAGATGCTTTCTTTGATAAAGCACTGATAGTCTAATTGAAGTCAGACTAAGCTCCAAATGGGTTTTCAGATGGGGAGCTGGCTTTCCTTAAAGCCTAAGGATCTTCAAATCCTGAGCTTTGATATGATGCCTCAGTAGAGCTAACCTATGTGGAGCCCAGCGGAGAAAGGATACACATTAAACAGAACATAGGTGTAATTTTTTTTCTACACTGAGACTAATTTTATCAAACTAATTAAAACAGTATCTTAAGCTGTTTACGATCCACTTAGCCCTCCCAAAAGACTTCAGAAATATTATTTACAATGTAACTAATGAGTATTACAAGAAGAATTCTTAAAACACCAACATTTATCTTATACTTTCTAATGTTAAATTAGTGATCCTTCATGTATGGGTATGTATTTGGTGTGGATACAGAAGACCGTAACTACACACTAAATCTACAGTCCTAAGAAATGTATTTTGATGATTTTGATTTTCACCACAGGAATAATAAAAATATAGCACCAGTGTTTTATATAATCACAGTCGCTATTTTTTTTCCACTCAGTTCTGTGTCTGCAATGAGAGCCCCTGGCCTTTAAGGTGCATTAGCTTTTCCATTTGTTTTGATACTTAGCTTCTCTTAAAAAAAAAAAAGAAAAAAGTTTTTTAAAATGGAAGACTTCAACTCTCCACAGAAGAAACAGAGGAGAAAGATAAGGTATATTAGAGAGGTGAGTGAATTGCTAATAGAGATGATCCCATTAATTTCTTTGGAACAAACTGGCATCCAAGACACATGTAAAAGGATCACCCTCCTGCTTGAGGGCATCAGTCAATTGCTAGTTTGAGTTGGGAAGACAATTTCCTGATAGGAATGTCATCACACGGTTATTATTTTTGGGACTACAGCACCTGACACTGGCCACTGCTTGCCCTAAAGGGAACTCTTTGTCTTGAATCCAGCTGAATAATCATCTTTGTTATATTCGAATCAGTCTCCCTAAAACAGTGTTGTTTTTTTCCATTTTAAATCAGCTTCACTGCATTTCAGAGCTAATTAAAGTACAAGGAATGGACTCTACTCTCTGCTGCCCTCCTTGTTCACAGCTGGACCTAGAGGGAAGGGTTCATGCAAGAGCTGCTGTATCAATCACAGCTTACATTAAGGGCCTGGAAAAGTCAAATGATAAAACAGAATCTTTGTTTTTAGTTAACTGCTCTCAGAGCAGGCTCCAACTACATAAAAGAAGAAAGTGTCTCAATGCCAGGGTGAATTTCTGAGCCAACATATGAAGCAATGCTATGCTGCTTGTGAGACCTAGGGCTCAAGATCCACGGCTAGTGCCTGCGAACACCCGGGACTTTGTCCTGTGAGAGTCAGAAACTTCTAATATGACCAGAAATGGCCTTCAGGTGAGCCTGATTTCCAATGAACATGTCTTCACAGAAAATGTCATCATGTTTAGGGAAATAAACAGTTTTGAATAACTTCTAAAATCGAACACATGCCTGTTTCTAAAGTTATATATTCACTTACCTTCCATATACCCTTATGTCTGAAATTGCATAAAAGTAGCGTGCCAGGTGTTGCTCATCTACATATATTTCACCCGTTGCTGGCCTAAGCAGTCTTATCCTCAGATCCGTGATGGTAAAGAAATCTCTTAACTTCTTGGTTGTGTCAAGCTGGCCATAAAGAGAAGCCATGTTATGAAGCCGAGGTCCAGCAAAAAAAGCAAATCTATCTTTAATTTCAAAGTGGATTATTTTACTATTTGTCATGTACCCAGTAGAGTATTCCTCTGTGCAAATGATTTCTAGGACTGTGTGCTGTGATAAATCCCTCACTGATTTTGGATCCATGTGAAAAGCATCTAAGCAGTCTGTGGCATAGTACTGGTAGGGCTGCCATGTTCGTCCATAGTCGAGTGATTTCTCCAGGATCATTTGGTCTGGACGGCCAGATTCAAAAGTGATAACTATGTTATCTGTGAGCTCAATGGTTTTGTTCCAGGAGAGCGTAATATTAACATGAAGAGGCTTTGGATAATCCTTCCAAGTTGTGGACTGCCAAAATGTGGAGGGATGTCTTCCTTCAAGATCAAACATCAGTTCTGGAGGATGAGCCAGTTCTTGGGTACTTGCATCACATTCATTATTGCACATGTAGGGATTCCCCTGAAAAAGAGCAAAACAGTGTTACAAGAGGCACAGTATAGGTGACTGTGACACATAAACATGTTTCTTGACTGAGAACTGCTGCTTTTTCTCCAGGAGTTAAACCAAGAGAGAAAAAACCAAATGCTTGCAAGTAATACCTTTATCTTAATGAAATTTATCCTGGCCGTTTTATCTGTCAAAGTAAATGTACAAACGCAACATATAGAGCATCCCTCCTTCTGTAATATTAACATTTTTCTTAGTATATGCTAAAGAAGGAAAAAACCTTATTTACCCTGAATGGTTCAGACCAGGGATTGAGTCACAAAAGACTGAGAACAGTAGGCAAATCTCTAATAGTTCAGTAACTCCGACTCTTCTTAGAAAGCGCAGCAGCCAAAGAGAATTCCTTTTCAAAACAAGTACGTTCCTCAGAGCTCCGCCCATGAAAGAAGTAATATTTAGGGCAAGTGTTTACTAGATAGCAGTGCAGCCTGTATGTACTCAATATGAACGAGTATTCAGTACACCTTCAAGTTTCCTTTCACCTGGATGTGAAATTTATCATGCTTAACCATGCTCCCAGCTCAACACCACCTTGCCTTAAAACCTTTACACTTGCTACCAAAAGCCAGTAGAAAAACAGTGCTCTGTCTGCTCTGGGGCTTGATTCAGATATCTCCCATCTTATTACAGGGTACTGAAGTACTTCAGGAAAGACTTTTCATGAGACACCAGCTTCAATTTATCAGGACAAATAATCCAGCGCTTGATTAGGAGGGAGATGTCAGCAGCTTCAGCTGGAACATTGCCAAGGTGGCTGTAGCTCTGAACGGAGGGTTGAGTTAAAAACAGCAACAAAAAAAGCCTGCCAATAGTGCACAGCTTTTATTGCTGCTTGTCCTCTGTAGCAAGGTGAAAGTGAATTATTCTCTTTCTGGCCTTTTGATGCATTAACTTGCACACTACAATCTTCTGCTTCTTCACAAAGGCTATTTTGTCTGCAGATTGTGGATATCTTGTAGCAGTTGCCAAGATATCAGACCCCATAGGCTGCACTGAATCACGTATGTCTAATTTCACCTTTCAACAGTGCATTAGTATTTTGCTACTTGTTCATTCTGCATTTGTTCCAGAGAGCAGCCGCTGCTCTGTATCCTTCCCTCTGCCTGACATACAGATGGTGGAAGAAGCCATGCCTCTATTCACTGATGGTCAGCACTGCTGGGGAAAAATATGCACATCCCTATACCTAGTAGAACTCGATGAGGTTATAAGTGTAGCTATTATTGTCATTAATCAGAGCTCCCTGCACCTACCCTGAAAACAGAAAAAGCCCCAGTATGATGATCGACCTTTTCTTTTCTTATAATTACAGTTATGCTTCTCTCCACCTCAAAGCCTCAGGGCAATGAAGCAATTCAATGCTATCCACTGTGGGAAATAGGTTTCAAACATCAGTTTCCACCTTGGCCACTGCTCTGCTCCTTGACATACTCCCACAAAACACAAGCAAAAGAACTTCTGCACTGACTTTGCCCTCCCCACTGGCAAATTCCTCTTACCTGGGCTGGAAAATAGTATTTTCTTTCTCTCTCTCGTTAATACAGCTGAATGCTAAAACTGAGAACAATTCACTGGGACTGGAAGCTATGAAAGAAAACTACAAGACAACAAAAAGGGTTATTTGAAAAACAGCATGCTGCTGACAGCTTCAAAGCATGCAGCTGTAACTGGATATACTCTGCAAAATATTGTCTATAATAAGTCCCTGTTACAGCTCTGATTTTAAGCTCATGGTTGCTATTTCTATGCCTTCCTTTTGAATAAAACAGTGAAAATTAAAACTAAGTTTCAAAAAGAATAGAGAAAACACCGAATATTTTAATATTTAAGTTCCATTTAATATATCAGATATAAATGCCAGAATTTGCTAACTTACAAAGGCCTTTTCTTTTCCTCAGGGAAAATATACACACTGTGAAATCTGTAAGGTTCCAGACCCTTTGGCTATATGTAAATACCAGTTTTTCAGAAAATGCTGAGAGTTGCGTAAATCACACTTGTCTGAGGTTTCCTAGAAAAATCTGGTCCCTTCTGTACCCAATGCCACAAAGCTGCCGCCTGTGTACCTATAACCTATATGCTTCTGCCCTTGCTTTCGTAAAAGCAACTTCACTGGGAGGTCATGGGTGTTGAAACCCAGCAAATAAATGCTCCTGTGTAGCCAGACAGGAGCATTAAGCACTGCTGAGGGATGGCTTTGTTTTCCTTTTCCACAAACAACCACTGAGTCTGTTGTGATTCTTCGTGTTAAAAACTAAAGCCACTCTGATCCACTAGTCCCTGGATGCTGGAGAAGGCATGTTTTATGACTTCAGCGGGTAACCCAATTGTATGGGATGTAGTCTTTCTTTCTGTATATTAGTTGTTTTATTTTGCTCTCTTTGCCTTTTATCTTTTGCTTTTTAGCAAAAGCTGAGGTGCCAACAGAATCAGAGAATAACTGGGAGAGGGGGCTCTAAAAACCCCACAAGCTAATGTGAATGAAGTAAGATGACAGAGCTGGTTGCAATAAATCACCTAAAAGAATGGCACAGTGAATGCGTATCCTCCCAAATAAATGGAATTATTGTTTTAATTTTATGGCACACAATTCTATTTTAAGAGGTATATGATTTGATGACACCAAAATAATCTGTGTGAAGTTCAAGTACTCCAAAGAGAAAATTAGGAGAAAAATAGCTAAGCAGATATAAGCTGATAAAATAAATGTCCTGAATTTAACACTGGGACAAGGAGAGAAATTATGAGCTTAGGTAAGTTCCCCTCTGTCTACTGACATGGTAGTCACTGACGTAATTTTGAAATATTTAACATAATTATTGCTTCAGAGGCTTGGAGTCAGGTTTCCATTTTCTCTACCAGCAACTTGGCTTTAAACTGCTTCTAATTAATCTTAAATGTAATTTGCATGGTAAGTCATACTAACACTACCAAAACAGTGTAAAAGGGTCTTACTCTACATGAACATCCCTTAGTACATGTTATTATGGAAACAATTAATTTAAATGTGATTAGTTACATATTTTAATGTCTTGATCTCTATAATAATCCTCTTTAAGAGTTCTGTCTCGCTGATAAACTTTCCCCGATTTGTGAAAACTAAGCTCAGTCTGTGTTGGAGACATCTAACGGATCAGAGCATTAACAACTGTAAGTAATTTTGTGACTAGCAGGCAGCCATAAACAGATCTTCATTTAAGCCTTCCGAGGAGCAGCTCTTCTCTTGGACCAGGTGGAAAATATTTATAACTTTTTAAAATTATATTTAAGCCATTAGGAGAGTTCTAAATAATTAAACACTGAGAAATACTTCTAAACTGTTTACTGCCAATTAGCATAAAAGGTAGCTGAGTCTTCCCCAACACCACAACTATCTAAAAGAAACCCACTATTTTCCTGTACAGTAATTGGAGATATTAAATAGCTCCTTGCAGGCAAATAAGGTTGCTATTTATTTTGGTTTTGGCTGCTCACGGAATTAAAAATATTACCAAAACTACTGACATAGTCTAAAAGTTTTGGCTTTAGGAAGAGGGGTACCTGTTTTGCAGGCACAACAAAGGCATTTGGCTGTATCATGACTTGATCACATTCAGCCCTGGCTGGAAAAAGCAGCGTTACCTGAGAAGTTGCTGAGTAGGGCTGACTGGTCCCAGTAGGGTTTCCCCTCAATTAGCTGGATTTAGTTTGTTTTAGCACACAGTAATGTCTGTTTGTGCCAGCCAGCTTGAACTTCTATAGTGGTGTCTGAGGTGCTCTGCAAATGTCCCTGCCTGGGAAGGGGCACTGGGGCTGGCCTTGCTCCCACTGAGCAGCACTGTCTTACCAAGTGCCTCCTCAGGAACAGCTCAGTGATGGATGGGACTGTGATCCTAGAGTGAGGATTGTGGTTAAAAACAGAGGTCTAGCAGTAGTATGACTGTTGAATGTCAGCAGGGGAGCCAGCAGCAGTGCTGAAGCTGCCGTTCAAGGGTTAAAGTTTGAGTGCTGCTGCTCAGGTGAAGCCTCTGGTCTCTCACCAGTACAGCTCCTCAGTGACACCCACACAGGCTTATGGTTTGATTGAAGATGTTGCTTCTTTCAATCTATTCCCTGTCCACACTAACACCTCATGGACTTTTTCACTCAGGAACAAAGACACAGGGGCTTAACCCTTCTGTAGCATGAATATTGGATGCTGTACGCAGATTACATGCTGTAATAGACACCTGGCTAAATCCCTACAGAGGATTATAACTTGCGTTTTCAAACTGGGGAAGGCTGCTGAGGTCAAGTAGGCCAAGATTTTAAGAAGAAGCAAAATACATTTTCAAGAAGTGAATCACAGCAACTGATTTTTATACCGCTGCCTCAAGGTAATTAGCTCAGATGCACCAGACAAGAAATAAATACAGCCTAACTCACATTTGGAGAGAGGCTGTGTGGTAAATTACTGCATTCAAATCACACTTTTGGAAATAACAGAGTATTTCTGTTTTCCTTTTCAAGAGATCATAGAATTAGTTCACTTGGTGCCAAGCTGTACATTGTTGATGACTAATTAGACAGTAATAGCTAATAGCAGCAATTGCCCTAATGCTTACATTTTACATGTGATTTCTAACCAGGAATTACTTGTTTACCATGAAAGAGCCAGATTATGAAACCATTAATTGTGGGATACTGCTCATTAGGTTGTTGTCCTACTAAGGGCAAACAGTGTGGTGGAGGATTGGCAAGGCACAGGATCTGTTGCATGATAATTGATGTTATCAAACTCACTACATCCATTAGCTGGTTTGAGAGCATCTCGGTCAATGTCTGCAGAACTATTGTTGTGATGAAGACAGGAATGGCTCTAGACAAGAACATTTTACCATCAATAGCCTTTCATCACTGCAATGACAGCATTTTAAGTTAAAGTGATTTAAGTTAAGAAAGAAAAAGTGCTAAAATTTCAGTGGAAGATTTCA